CAATAATACACATAGCTCAACCATATATACGAGACCAAATGGGCACACCAGCACAGCGGCAAGGACAAGAAGGCAGGAGGGGACAGGAAAGCTGGATGAATGGAAATGGGGAACCCAAGATCGAGAAGGAGAGAGTGTTGACACATTATGGGGTTTGCAACCAATGTCATAAAACAATATGTGTATTAATTGTTTAATGAGAAACTAATTTGCGTTGTAAATCTTCACCTAAAGTATAATAAAAAATTAATTAAAAAAAATAAAATCAAGACTAAAGAGACATGACAATTAAATGCAATGCAGTACTCTACACTGGATTCTGGAACAGAAAAGGGACATTAATGGAAAAACTGTTAAGTCCAAAATAAGTCTGGAGTTTAATTCAATAATCATGTATCAATGTAAGTTTCTTTAAAATAAATAAATAAATAAACAATAATAACCCACTTCCGTTGAGTCAGTTCTGACTCCTAGCAATACTATAGGACAGAGTAGAACTTCCCCATAGGGTTTCCAAGGCTGTAAATCTTAACAGAAGCAGACTGCCACATCTTACTCCTACAGAATGGCTAGTGGGTTTGAACAGCCAAACTTTTAGCTAGCAGCGTGCGCCACCAGGGCTCCTGTAAGTTTCTTAGTTTTGACAAATGTACTATGGTAATGTAAGATGTCATTTAATGTAACAAAGGGGGAAACTGGGTGAGGGAATGCTCTGTACTAGCTTTGAAACTTTTCTGTAAATGTAAAATTATTGCAAAATAAAAAGATCATTTTAAACAATGTAAGGTCACCATACAAACCAGAATAGCTAAAGTAAAAAAGATAAAAAATACCATGTGGTAGCAAGAATACATAGCAACTAGAATTCTCATTCATTGCTGGATGGAGTGCAAATTAGTATAATCATTTTAAAAAAGTAACTGGCAGTATTGGACATCATGCTTGGTAAAGCAGAGGGTCAAAGAAAAAGAGGAAGACCCTCAGTGAGATGGACTGACACAGTGGCTGCAACAGTGGGCTCAAGCATAATAATGATTGTGTGGACGGCGCAGGACAGGGCAGTGTTTCATTGTACGTGGGGTCACTGGGAGTTGGAACCAACTCGAAAGCACCTAACAACAACAACTGACACTGAACATATGTATATCTCTATAACCCAGGAATCCACTCCCAGGCATACACTCAACCAAAACTACACGTCATGTACTAGAATTTTTACAGCAACACTATTCATAAAATCTCAATCTGGAAACTATACAAATGTCCATTAACAATATAATAAATAAATAACCTGTGGTACAGTCACAAAATAGAATACTACACAGAAATAAAAAATAAAGAATCTACAACTTCAAGCAACCATATGGATGAATATCAAATATATTAAGTGAAAGAAGTCCAGACACAAAAGAAAACATACTGTATGATTTCATTTGCATAAAACACAAAAAAAGGTGCATCTAATACTAGAAATCAGGATAGTGGTTAGCCTTGGGTGGGGTAGGTGGGGGCGGTTAGTGACTAGAAGGAGCACAAGAAGCTCTTCTGGGGTGATATAATATTCTATGTTGTAACCTGGGTGGCTGGAATAAGGGCATGTTTGGTTTGGGAAAACTCAACAAGTTGTATCATTAATATTGTAGTGCAATGAGTTTCTCTTATATACGGCCTTTCTGGCCCTGGGTTTGTAAGTCCGCCAAAAAATAATTGGTTGGCCTCCAGTCTATCCTGTGATTGGTCTATTTTACTCACTGTGATAATTGAGATTGTGTATCAACTTGGTTGGGCCATGATTCTCAGTGGTTTGGCAGTTGTGATGTAGTTTGGCAGTCATGTGATGATGTGATCAATTCCATGATGAGATTTGACATAGTGCAATCACCTCCCTGATAGGATCTGCTGGGAGTAGCCAATCAGTTGAAAGGGGGTTTTCTTGGGGGTGTGGCCTGAATCAAATATAAGCGGACTTTCTGGCAAGACTGGTGGACTTTTGCTCACTCTGGATCCTGCAGCTGGCTCCTGTTCATCTGACCTCTGGTTCTTAAAGACTGGAGCTAGCAGCTTACCTGCCGTCTTGCTTGCCGATCTTGGGATTCGTCAGTCTTCACAGTCTGTGAGCAAGAACCTTGTTGTCTGACCTGCCAACTTTGGGTTTGCCAGCCCCTGTGGTTACATGAATCAGGATAAGCCTCTATCCTGACCCATGGATTTGGGACGTTCCAGCCTCTACAACCACATGAGCCATTTCCTTGATATTAATCTCTTTCTGTACATATTTATAAGCTTTACTGGTTTTGCTTCTCTAGAGAACCCAACCCGTAGTGATTTCCCCAGTTCCATAATGCATAATTGGAATAGACATACTCATCAACAGGCAAACTCCCCACTCTGGATCCCTGACATGTGGAATAAGGGCTATTATAGCAGGAAAGGTCAAGCAGAAGCCATTAGAACTGCCCCTACCTAGGAAAATAGTAAACCAAAAGCAATATTGCATTCCTGGAGGGTTTGCAGAGATTACTGCCACCATCAAGCACTTGAAGGATGCAGGGGTAGTGACTCCCTCCACATCACCATTCAACTCACCTCTTTGGCCTACGTGAAAAACGGATCTTGGAGAATGACAGTGGATTATTGGAAACTTAACCAGGTGGTGAGTCCAAGTGTAGCTGCTGCTCCAGATGTAGTTTCATTGCTTGATCAAATTAATACATCTCCTGATACCTGGTATGCAGCTATTGATCTGGCTAATGCCTTTTTCTTCATAGCTGTTTCGAAGGACCATCAGAAGCACTTTGCCTTCAGTTGGCAAGGCCAGCAATACACTTTCAGTTGCCTACCCCAGAGCTACATCAACTCTCCAGCCCTATGTCATAATTTAATCCATAGGGACCTCACTCCACCAAGAAAGTAGTGCCAGGAGCAGAGTGCATCCTTTGGACTCAAGGTCCCTGTGCTGAGACGCTCCTAGACCAGAGGAAAATTGATGATAAGGATGTTCCTCCAGAGTCGACAGAGAGAGAAAGCTGAAGTGAAGCCCCTAAAAGAACTGTAATATGGCAAGAGACCTGGGAGGGACCTATGGCAGAGAGCCAATGATGGCAGCAGAAAACTGCTGCTAGGAGAGAAGCAGCTGAGCAAACTGTTATGCTGGCCACGAGCTGGGCCAGTTAGCAGCTTTGAGGCCTTTTTTGAATGGCAGAGAGGCCTGCTCAGAAGGCAGAGAGGTCTCTTTGCACAACAAAGAGGCCTACTAGCAGCAGAGAGCAGCTGAGAGAGTTGTCCTGGTTGAAAGCTGTCCTGATGGATGAACTGTATCCTATTCTGAGTTGTGTCCTGTTACCTCTAAGTTGATTCTGGTCCTAAGTTGAGTTGTAGCCTGTTACTTCCTTAATAAGCCTGTGAGTTCTATGTGGCCACTGCAACAAATTATCGAATCCAGCAGAGGAGTAGAGAGTGCTGTGGAGGGAACACCTGGTGTCAGAAATGGTGAAAAAGTTGGAGAGTGGAAGTGTATGTCTGACCTCCACCTCACAGAAACCAGCTTTGTACCAGTCCAGATTCTTATCTCTCAGAAATTTAGGCAATTCCTTACACCACATCTCAAATATCTATGCATTTTTCTTACATATACTATATTTCAATAAAAAGGTTTTTTAAGCAAGGTTATTCTTTAGTAAGGGATCATTTCATATTTTAAATAATATAAGTAAATATAAGGAGCCCTGATGGTGCAGTGGTTAAAACACTCAGCTGCTAACAAAAAGGTCAGCAGTTCGAACCCACTAGCTGCTCTGCAGAAAAAAGATGTGGCAGTCTGCTTCCATAAAGATTTACAGCCTTGGAAATCCTATAGGGCAGTTCTACTCTATCATCACATAGGGCGGTCACTATGAGTCGAAATCGACTCGACAGCACCTAACACCAACAACAAATATAACTAAGTAATTTTATATAAAAGCTTCTCTAAGTTATATAATTTACTAATTTTTATAATTTCCATGAGATAGATAATATTGTATACATGAAAGGATATGAGTGGGACTCTTCCTTTTGCTCTGGGATTGTCAACCAGCCACAAAACTGGGAGAAAAGGGACTAGTAACACATATTCTAAAGAGCAACCTATGATTGAGGCCAGATCCTCCTCTTAGGATTATTAAAGGTTGTAGAACAAGCTCTGCAATCACAAAACACCTTTCTCCTTCCCAGTTATTTTAAGGAAACTGAGAAGGGAAGGTATGAAATCTCAGCTTAGTGGGATGGAGACAGGTTGAGACACTTTTCCCCTCAACTTCCAAGACAAGTGAGGAGGAAACTCTAAGAATATTCTTATAGATACTAGGAGTGCCTTCAAAAAGGGGAGACTGGCATCTCATTCCCTAGTTGACCTAGGCAGCAGATTTGATTATATGTTCTGGCTGAGCAGAGTAAAAGGAAATTAGAGAGAGACGGATGGCAGAGAGGAAGCAGAAGTAGAGCATTTTGCACTGCCATTTAGCATGGCAAGGTTGACTCCTAGATTAAATGGAAATTGTGGAAAATAGCTACAACTGACACACCTTGCTAATGGAACCTACCCCAAGAAGGGTGGCTGCTAATTAAAAGGCTCCAGAAGCAAGATGATGTGGGGTAAACAGCAAGGAGAGGTAAGTGGGGGTGATACCGGAAAACGTCAAATCAGAACCAGATTTCCCACATCAGGGACCTAAGCATTAGTGAATGACCAGCAAGTTGTGGGCCAGCAAGATTGTGGGCAAATGTGGGCAGTGATACATTAAAAAAAAAAAGTGAAACAATTTCATGCTGATACCACAAGAAAATTGAATTTTTTAATTAACTAGTTGTGTGTGTGTGTGTGTGTGTGTGTGTGTGTGTG